ATTTATTTTAAATTTATTAAATGATTGAAAATTATTTTAAGTTAATTTATTATTTTAAATTATTTAAATGTTAATGAATTTATTTTATTAAAATGGTTAAAAATTGTATTTAATTTAAACTATTATTTTATTTTATTTTATTTTAAGTTAATTTATTATTTTAAATTATTTTACTGTTAATGAATTTATTTTATTAGAATGGTTAAAATTTATTTAATTTAGACTATTATTTTATTTTATTTTAATTTAATTTATTATTTTAAATTATTTTATTATTTTAAATTATTTAATGTTAATGAATTTATTTTATTAAAATGGTTAAAATTTATTTAATTTAAACTGTTAATTTATTTTAATTTAAATGATTGAATAAATCTATTGTAAATAAAATTATTATTTTATTTTATTTAGAAATGACTTAAAGTACTGAACAATATCTATCTTATTCTATTAAAATGATTGAAACATAAAATACCTGAAAATAAAAATTTTATTTAATTTAATTTAAAGTTAAAAATTTAATTTATTTAAAGTAACTGGCCACGTTATTTTAAAATAAATTATTATTTTATTCAAATGTTATTTATTTTAATCCTTGAAAACTATTGATTTATTTTATTAAAACGCTTGTAAATTCAACACAATTTCGGTTTGTTGAAACGAAAATTCAAAGTTCCTAAAAATTCTTATATTACTTAACACGACTATTTTCTTCACTTATTACTATATACTATGGTCATGCATAAACCATAGGAGACGAACACCACGATATTTATTACCTAAGCATACTTACAAAAACGCAGCTGGTACAGCGGGTGCTTCCATTTTCTCGGTTGAAATGTTGATTGTAGTTGGGTGTTACGTAGTTGTACAGGATTCTTTCTCGGAGTTGCTGGAAGGTGTACAGGCTCCCAACGGTGGTCCAGTGATGGATTTTCCTCCTTGATTGAATTTTAGAAGTTGAAAAATTGTTCTTCAAGTTCTTCTAAGTATCCTTTGAGACACCCTGTCCACAGCGCCAATTTGTAACGTGCCAACTACTTCAACTCAATATTGATGGTATTTTGAATTAAAATGACAAGTTGTTGGTATAATGATAGTTTATTTGTATTTAATTAACACGAAAAATATTCTAAGTCCAAATAATTAATTTGTAAAATTATGGTAAAACGGGTTGTGACTTCGTATCGACTTATGGCTGTCCTGCTATAGTGCTCGTCGTCTTGGCTGGTGTTCGTCTGATGGACACTTGTCCATCGACGTATTTCGTCGGTTTTCCTATTAGATCCCTCCTATGGCATTTTTAGTATAAAAAATGGTACATAGCTGCGTATACCTGACGTCATTTCGGCGTCCTCTACGAAATAATGTTAATTGGGATTATATGTTTTCAAAGTTATCTATTTTTGTTATTTACGGCTTTTTCGTCTTTCCTAGAACATGGATAATGCGCGCGTATACCTATTGCGCTGTACTATTAATTAGTTCTGTACTCTTATCGATGTGGCTGCCCGGACGCTTATATTATTACTATTATCGGGTTGCGTGCCCTCTGCAGCATTTATATCTGTTATTGAATATAATATATTATATTATAAGCGTATTATACTTAATACAGCATAATATAATATAATATTTTATATATTATTACTATTATAATATGTACGTAGTCACAGCCCGTTACAGTACCACCTTGATCCAATTTTCTAAAAGATAAGATACTATATGTTGAAATCGAAGCACTTATTCTGGTAGAAATTCTATATACAGGATAAAAAAAAAATAAAAAAATAAACACCTTTGTAAAACCACTAGCTTCCTCACTCCGCTCAGAATCTAAAATTAATATTATTTGTAAATAAAATTGTCGAAATTTTTAACTATTTTTAACTATAGAAATATATTATATAGATAGATACTAGGTAGGTACAGCAGAACTCTAAATATATTAAGCTATTGCCTATTAAGAAATGTTCGTTCGATACGAACGTATTTTTTAGTGTAACTAATACTTAATTGGTAGGCACACATATGCAATACATTTCTTAACATATAAATATCATAATGTATTCACTATGATAGTTTATAGGTTGTCAAACATAGAACCATTATCACTGCTCACCTGTATTATATTGTTTGAAACAATAGATTTGATCCGTGTTATTTTTTAATTTGATTATGGTTTCCTTTTTTATTTTGTTGCTAAATAATAAGTGGGTACCTAACAACTAAACTGATTTAAGAGTAATTTTTGTCAGAAACATGTACAGATAAAATGTGATTGTTCAATAATGAAATTCGACACACAAGACCATATATAATAATTTCAAAGGTAAATATAACTAAATAATATTGTAAAACAATATTTATTTTAAGTTAGTTGTAAGTTTATTGATACATGGCATTTTCGATTGTTTAAGACTTATTGGCAGGTTATGAATAAAGTATAATAAGTTTATGAACGGCTTATAAATATAATTGTATAATGGCATATATTTTGTATATTCACTCTCAATATTATGTGACATGTGTTTCTAGTTTTATTAGATATCACATCTTAATATTATGGTTGAGAGTGTTGCGTATATTATATAATAATATTTAACTATTATCAGGTATATATTATTATGTTTCTAAAATTCTAATTATATTGCTGGAGTACATTCAAAATTTAGTGAATAAAAAATTAGACCTATAATAATTGTGTGGGGGTAAACGCATATAATATAATTACTCTCTGAAGAGTGTCTATATACTCTATTATAGATTTGATTCTGATATTCATAATATGGCTATAATTATTGTTATATATTATTATTTCGTATATACCTACATAATGAGTTTTGCCAGTCGAGTAGAAACGATCTAATTTATCAAATTAGAAACGGTCAATATAATATAATATAATTTAATAATATTATCATTCATCGTGATTGCTATATGTTCAAACTGTTCGTATTTATTGCGTCCGTAAGAAAAATTACTTTTTAAAATCGTTTATTTCATCGATGTTATTTATGGAGAACAATTTAACGACGACCGGATAATCGCGTAGTGTTAGATAATCTCTCTTGGTACTTCCGCGGACAATATATCGCGTAAAAGGAAACCACTGTTTGTTTTCTACGGAGTGTGGTAAAATGGTAAATACCGCGGTCCGTATGAAATCGATAAGGTAACGGCGCCGCCCGTGTTTGATGATGACGGTATATTGGTTATATAGCGATCAGTGACCACCGACGACATAGTTGGTTACACCACAATAATTATAATCAACGGAAATCCCGAATTTTAAATTTCCAAGACAGCACTAATGCAGCAGGTCATTGAAAATTTAATGAGATACATTTTAATGTAATTTCTTATCATATAACAAATTATTTATAGACTTTGTTTAATATTGTACGATTTACATAACTCAACGTATAAGTGCACAACGATTAACGAGTTAATTGTAATTCAATTCTCCGTTACCAGTTTAAATGGTAACTCTCAAACTAATTTATTCTGCTGTATATTATATTGATGAAAATCTTGATGCAAATAAAATCCACTAGTAATTATTATTATAAGGCGATGAATTCATTTTTGAAGAGTTTCATAGTGGGGTGGGTATACAAACTGTGATTTTTAAACTGGGGGTTGGGGCGTCATCATTTTTTTAAAGGTCGAGAAATAACTTGGTGACGTTTTATTGGGTCTCGACTTCAACAATATCGAGAACATCTGGAGTACATGAAAATGAATCGATATAATGTATTATTTATTATTACTAAAGGTTGGTTATGCGTATATCCCTAGCACATGACCCGGACATGAGTGACGAAACGATCGTGTGTGTGTGTGGGGGGGGGGGGGGGAATCCGATACGCACAAAATGTGTGAAATACCAGAATTATACATTAATAACTAGGTACCTACATAGCTGATATAACCCGGGTCTGCTGCAGACAGAAAATTATTAAACTATTTACCGTTACCACATCGTCACTGTAATGACGAAAAGGCGTAACTATAATAATATTATATACACATAGGTTTTCCAATACACATTCAGAAACGCCTTTCTGCAGTCGTTACAGTGACTGGAAAATAATATACATTTCGTAGGTATGTAATTTATACTTAACATTTAACCTGTGACGTTCTGACATATTTTATAATATTTTACTAGGCAATGCATTTGAATGTATTTTATAGGCAGGTATTTCGATAGGATAGATAACTAAAGCGGGTGGGTACCTACTCAAAATACCTACCGTAGCTGCTGCATTATGTCATTTTGTTCTGAATACGATAAATCGTCGACCATTATGGTAGCGTGGACGACGCGTTGTGCTGCAGGATAGGTACCGCGGTCCTGCAGGTTATGATATTATTGTTGTTATAATATTATAGCGATGGTATCGGAAGTTCCGCTTTCGATTTCCACTGTCGCGGCGGTGGTAGCTACAACAAGACGTGTAGAGGGAACGGGCGATTGAGTCTGCGGGGACCGGTTCCGCATGTGGCAGTCCGCCGCAGCGAGTTTGCGGCTTTCATTCGTCACGCGACAACCGTATAGTATAATATTGGTACGCGCGACGACGACGTCACCCGCGCACGTCGCCGCCGCCGCCAGACTCGTGTCGGGCGTTCAAGTCTCCGATCGCGATTTTGTCATCAATTATTTTTACTTTACCGTCCGCCGGCCAGCAAGTCGCACGCGACCGACTGTATAATCATAACTCGTCGTCATAATATTTTACGTTTCGCTTTTAAAATAATATTATTAGGTGTTATTATCGATGGTAATAATAATATAATAGTATATAGACTAAAAATACCTAATATTTTCTCCTCATCCGTATCGGTTGATATACGCGTTTCCGCCGCCGAGTGACATATATTATTATAACCGTGAACGTGGTACACTTTAGAGGTATACTAATGCTCTGCACTTTACACTATCTGTTTCCAATGGGATCGCAATAGTCATCGCAGTGTTGGGGACCATAATTATGTTGTTGTCTCAAGCCCGTCGTATGAAGTCTTCAGCAGCTGCGGTACGACGTTCGTCGCAAATCGCCCGCCTGACGTATCTGTTCTACTGCGTGTTCCAAGTGAGTGAAAACGCTAGCAAGATCGCCCCTGCAGCTTGCACTTGACGTTATAAACTATTATCGTCATGATATCTATAATAGGTATCGAGCTTTGTCGCACTGATATGCTTTAAATTTAAGTACATCGTAAAAATAATAAAATAATTAAACTTTTATTTACCATAATATTTAAAGTTAACTTTTTATTTGTACGCTATTATGCACTATAAAATAGTTCTTAAATGTTCAATCATTCGAGTAAATTTTAGTACTTAAAATGTGAAAAAAAATTCTAAGCTAATTTTTTCTTAATGTTCCCTCAACAATAAATTGTCCACTTGAGTATACACAACACACTTTAATCGAGGATATTTCATCACTTTTATATCGATCGGTATTCAAAAATATTTAAAAGGAAAAATACGTTTATTTTGTCAAATCACCATAAGCATTAAAATAAATTCTTCATAACATATATAAGAGTTTTCAAAAAATTGGTAAGTACTTACAACATAAAAATGCCCACAAATTACAAAATGTTGTCCTTATAGAACTTTTTTAATTCAAGCTTATGCTATTTTAACACTCCTAAAAAAAGTTGGAAACACAAAGTAGTTTTAGTCTTAGTCATTATGTAAGTACATAGGTAGTAGGTATTTTTCCGTTAATTTTTTTTTTCAAATTGCACAAATTACATGTTTACACACCAAATTGAAACGATATTCTTAGATAATTATTTTATAAGGAGTTCCATCTGAGCGCAATTACAATTTTAAGCTTGGGAAAGCCAATGAATAATTTTAGGGCTCAGTAGACAGTAAAGTGAAAAATTAATTTACTAATTTATTAATTTAGGTTTTTGTTTTTGTTTTTTTTTTTTTTTTCATAATAGTATATATCGGTGTCACTTCCTTCGGATAAAATGATCCGGGATGTGAATTTGTCATTTGATTAAAGTTTATTTAAATTTAGTGTAATTCAACTCAAAATATTATACTCATTGTGTGTTAATTTAATTTAACACGAATATTATGTATTATTCAATCAATAAGAACAAAAATAACAGTTTGAATCATGTTTTAAATCAAGTAACACATTCACCATTGTTGATTGGTTAGGTAGTGCATGGCTTATGTTCAGTCTAAACAGTTTGGAATTGTCATTGAGAAATAATGTTATTTTAAAATAACTATAAGTAAAGTTTATAACTTTGAACAACAATTTTATTTAAATTTGATATTATAGTAGGTTAAGCGTTGTGATATTCAAGCATTTTAAAGTATTAAATGTAGGTACCTACTTAATTGTTCATTTATACATTTTATGTGAAAAATAATTGATAGCTATCCCTCCAAATTAGTAGGCAGTTTACAGAGATCTCTTTTCGATTTCCTGTAATCCGAGCAACGTATTTATTTTATAAAGCTAATGACCTCCTAATGAACCATTAGTTTTACTTACTAGAAATCTTCATACGGTTGGCATTTAATAGGTTAACATCTCATAGTTTGATATTTTTCACCATTTCACATGATTCATGACAATAGAATGTGACCATAAAAATAAATCGTCATGTGAGAAAAAAAAACATAACAAAATTACGACGATGTACCTATTCAGTTGTAATGTACTAACTCGGTGTGTTGCAAGACAAATCGTATATGTTATGAACTATGAATACAAAATTATAACTTTCTACACCTATAGTGACTTAGAAAACAGAAAAGTTTTTCGGAAAAGTCGATAGTTAAGACTTATAATATATCATGCATTCATGCATCTTATAACATCGATTTTAGTATTCGATAAAATATTATAGAACTTATCGATAAATATATTTTTAATATCAATAGAGTAAATTCGATTGTTGTATAACTATATAGCGTGCATCCATTTTACTCATAGACATATAATGTAAGTACTACAATAATGAATAGGATTTTTAATTAAAAATAGATTACGTATGATCAATCAGTAATTACTTTATTTTATTGTTACTCGTAATATAGGTACAGGTAGTGCCTTTTGCGATCAATTTCATTGTGAAAATTAGAAGTAAAAAAAGTTGTAAGAATTCATTATTACATAATTGAACACGTGCCTAGAGTTCTAGATTGTTGAGATAAAATAACTTGACCACCGGGGTCATAACTTATTTAGCTTGAGATGATCAAAATTGATTATGCTGGAAAATATTTTCTACTAATAATATTTTTAAGTGATCTGAAAATTATAAGACCCAAAGATTTCCTATTATATTGCCCAGTGCATTCCAATTGATACACAAATAATCGTCTTTATATAATGTCCATCTACTTTTGAAGATGCGTTATGTAAAATAAATAATAATTTATATTATATTGCATCAATGATTCAAAAAGAATTTCCTGACATCGTTCTCGGGGGTAAGGTCGTCTGGAATATTTCCATACACAATAATAGGAGAAAGAATATATAATTGTTTGTGTCTGCACTGATACTGGGATTATAAGTACCTATTATCAATAATTATACTCTATTATTATTATTTTTTTTTTTATTAACTGAAAATAATTGAGGTTTCATAATATAAACCAGATGATTAATATAACAGATAGGTAAATTTAGTTTTTTACAATAGTAGAGTAGACTTTACAGTTTGTTTTCATCGTCATTATAATATTACCTATATAATATGAAGCATTACAATTGTGTGTCCTATGATGATCGTGTGACATAACCACATGAGATAATGGTTCTGAGTCAGTCCAAAAAAATTACGTTTTGATGAACACAGCATTATACTATTACAGCATCTCTTTCACCTCAAACGTTCGTAATATCTAAGTAAACCATGTTTTACACATGAGCAATCAATTTATTTCAGCCTCGAGGAAGTTTAGTAATAGTGTCCATGCTATAGAGGTACAGTCGAACGGAAGTCTACGCACGTAGTAATTTTGCTGTAAAAATAATTTTCTAAATTGCATTCAACTGATTTATATTTTTCTAGAACAAGCGCATGGATTATTTTTATGTATCAATAATATAATAATATACCATTATAGGCTTTTAGTTTTGATTCAATCTTTCACGTGAAATAATAATGATGGTTAATATATATTGAGCGTTATATTTTTTGTATCGTTTATCATTATAATATTATTTGACTTCAGTGTATTTGGAACTTTAATTCATTTTATATCACCAGTTTGAATTCGTCAACTATATATTATAACTTATAAGATGGGAATTTATTTATGTATTGATATTTATTACCAATAACCGTGATTCCTGAAACCCGGCTTGTCACAGTTTAGAAACTTAGCTTATCACAATATTTAAAAACATTGAGTTTAACCGAGTGATAAATTGTTATATTGTGCGATTAAAATTAATTAGGCACCTCTGATAATATATAGTTTTACTTTTGTTCTGACTATTCCTAAGTCAATTGGTCTCGTAAATTAGATTGACTGTTTTTTTTTCTTTCTGTTGAGCTAAAAACAATAAAACCAAATCTTTTGTTTTTGAAATGTTGCGCCCATGGGGTGTTTCATTTTGGCGTGATAGGCAGGGCCTACGCAAGTGATGACCTCCGTCCTGCATGGTGGTCTGTCTCCATTGTAAACAAAAGCTGTCTCGGTTGGGAGCAACTAGTGATCGACGGCCTGGAACAGTTGGTGTCTCCTTCGGTGCACTAAATTAAGAACAAATTAAAAAATAATAATAAAACATTACGGGCAGTCGATTTAAGTTCGTCTCACTGTAGGTGCCGCAGATCGAGGACAAGGTCGGATCGTTAAACTCGATCGGCTTAAACTTAGGGAATGTGGTTTTTTTTTATATGTCACCTCATGTCCGCTGATTTTGTTGGGTGTGACTATTCATATAAATAAGCTCTGTGTGTATCGTTTTTATTTTAATAACTATTTCACGATAGTATATGAATATTATGTTAAGTAGTTGGCTAGCAGAATTTGTTTACAAATTAAATTATGTGATTACAATTTAATTAACAATTCATTATTGAAGGTGCATAATTATTTGAACGGTGTGTGAGTATTATTATTTTTTCCGATGATAGATAATAATTATAAATATATTATATAATATTAATACACTCGATTTATGTTTATAAATTTAAAAATTTGATCTTTGATGTATTGTAATTTTATATTATGATTATCTTTAAAATATTATCAATTTACTATTTACGTATATTTTCACACAAAATCAAATTTTATGTAAGTATAAACCTATACTTTTTGTTTCGTTAAATTTAAGCTTTTACAGTTATACCCGGAGTTTTACCTAATTTATTCAGTTTAAAAATAGTATTTTGTCTCAAATCTCAATATTAACTGTACAGTTTGGTCGGCATATTAAAATTTGACATTATTTTTGATGCAGAATAACTGCAGGTTTAGTTTTAATGAAATAATAACACTCTATTATTTTTACAAAACGTTTATTAATTACACTACTAAAATAAACTATTATATATTTTATAAGCATATACATTAATTATAATTATACGAGTTCGAGGTCTTCTTTTATTTTAAAAGTAATTAATGGTAATTTTTCTTTTCTTTATCCTTAGTATTTTTTCTTTTCAATAAGTATATTATACGTTTTAATAATTTTAAGGTCGGAAATATTCTTGAACCAAAAAATAGTTTTTATATTTAATTATATTATTGATGCGTACATTATATAATTTATAACTATAATAACGATTAGGTAGTCTTACCAACAAAACATGGCAAAAAATTGATATTCGATAATTACACATATTAAGCAAAATATATTATAACTTTATAAGACTGTTCATATTTTTTTCTTTGATCGGGAATAAGTGTAAGACAGTGTTAATATTATGCATTTGTCATCTATAATATAACCTAACCTAATATGATAAACTAATTAACCGATTTAAACTTTAAGTACCTACCTATTAGAGTTTAAAAAAATATATATAAACAAATTTAGCGTTAATCCATTAACGGTTAATTATCTATATTATATAATTATTAGCTTAT